AGTCCAGTCAGTGCTGTATGTTGTGATTTAAATAATCCTTTGGTGTTCTAATAGTCCAGTCAGTGCTGTATGTTGTGATTTAAATAATCCTTTGGTGTTCTAACAGTCCAGTCAGTGCTGTATGTTGTGATTTAAATAATCCTTTGGTGTTCTAACAGTCCAGTCAGTGCTGTGTCAGGAGTACAAAAATAAAAGTTACGTACTGAAAATTTAGCAAAATACGATCTCCCCTCTGGTTTACTCACACCCCTTTCTACCTAGCTAAAATGGGCGGACCCAGGTACAAGAAAGACTGTTGCTGCCTGTCCTGATTGAGTAACTAGAGTAGACCCTTGGTGTACCCGCCCTGGACGCCTCGTGACTACTGACGTCATACGTACAGATAGGTGTTTACTTAAAACTTCAGCTGTTTCATCCAAAACAGTTATGAGGCTCTGGATCAGTAAGTAGTGGAAAGTAGCCCTAACGTCTAAAGTGCCCTGGTCAATTGGAGATATGTCAAAAGTCAAAATTTTCTTTGTTACACACTCTACGCCTAAGTATCTGACAAGTTTCGGTGGGTGGAAAAAGTGTGGGGCGCTTGGAGTTTTGCAATCGCCCGAACGCTTCTAGTCCTACACGCTCTTCGTGTAGGCTCGACGACAAGGTTATTGTGCTGAGGTGGGTGGGGTGCCTCGTGGAGGGCAGGAATCGACCATTTGTTGGACTATCTCTTCTATTACACTGATCGGAACCAAATCCTTAGGTTTAAATCTGTGGGTGAAGTTTGCTACATGTCGGGAAATACAGGTTGTTGTGGGATGCCGAGAAAACTTTTAGGTAAGTTGTCTTCCCTTCGTCTTGGCAGTTAGCAATAAGCAACAGCAAGCTGTAGTTGTTTAAAAAAAAATTGGAAAAAGACACCTGTTACGATAAATAATGTTATACCCGTGTTTTGTTGTTCTCAAGTGTTGATAATTATATTCTGTTTGGTACACAAGTCGAGATATTTGATAAAATTGTGAAACCAGTTAGGAACCAATTTTGGCAACGAGTCTTGAAAATAGACAACATGGGTGCACGTGCAGCTGTTCGTTCGCGCAAAAACAAAAGCGCGGCTGTCTTCCATGTTAGGGCAGTTTTTACTATCACTGGTATCAGTATGGTGTGACAGTTCGCCTGCTTTTGTTGTTTGTAGAGTGACCGGTGGTCAAATTCGCTACGGTATCACGTGAACTGTTACACAGGTAAAAATAACAAAGATGTTAAGGTTTCAGTCATCTTGTTTTGTAGGTAATGATTCTAATTACTCCTTGTGCGGATCGCCATCTTCAGTTACTTATATATATATAGGCCCTTATTAAGTTCATTTTTTATTCGTTATTCTTGTTTTGTTATGTCGCTATTGTTGTGTTACTTTTGTTAAGACCTGATAAAGATTACATTCATATATTTTTTTCTTCAAACGTCTAGCTTTGATTTACTTGCGTCCTTTATAGGAACTGTAACAACATTATTAATCTGGACTTGTGTCTCATCTAATGTATGTCTGTATGTTCAGAACCGATTATCATGTGTCCTGTATGAACTGTAACCACCAGGTTAACGTTGATTTCCATCTCGTCCAATGTGTGTGTGTGACTGTATGTTTGGGTATAGTGTTGAATTAACCAATCCAAAACCAAATCTTCATAATTTTTTATAACAGTAGGCCTAATCAGAAAAAAAAACAAAAACGAAAAGATTACGAACTTCAGTCTTTCGGACTCGATAAATGTCCTGTTAATAATTCAGTTTCTTATCGTTTATTTGTCTTTTCTTCCTTGTGATTCACCTTAGACACTTACTATATATATTTATATATAAAATGTCCTGATAATAATTCAGTTTATTATGGTTTATTTATCTTTTCTTCCTTGTGATTCACCTTGGACACTTACTATATATATGTATATATAAAATGTCCTGATAATAATTCAGTTTATTATGGTTTATTTGTCTTTTCTTCCTTGTGATTCACTTTGGACACTTACTATATATATGTATATATAAAATGTCCTGATATTAATTCAGTTTCTTATCGTTTATTTGTCTTTTCTTCCTTGTGATTCACCTTGGACACTTACTATATATATGTATATATAAAATGTCCTGATAATAATTCAGTTTCTTCTCGTTTATTTATCTTTTCTTCCTTGTAATTCACCTTGGACACTTACTATATATGTATATATATAAAATGTCCTGATAATAATTCAGTTTATTATGGTTTATTTGTCTTTTCTTCCTTGTAATTCACCTTGGACACTTACTATATATGTATATATATAAAATGTCCTGATAATAATTCAGTTTCTTATGGTTTGTTTACCTTCCTTGTGATTCACCTTGGACACTTACTATATATATATGTATATGTATAATATGTCCTGATAATAATTCAGTTTCTTATCGTTTATTTGTCTTTTCTTCCTTGTGATTCACCTTGGACACTTACTATATATGTATATATATATAATGTCCTGATAATAATTCAGTTTCTTATCGTTTATTTAGTCTTTTCTTCCTTGTGATTCACCTTGGACACTTACTATATATGTATATATATAAAATGTCCTGATAATAATTCAGTTTCTTATGGTTTATTTATCTTTCTTGTGATTCACCTTGGACACTTACTATATATATATGTATATATATAAAATGTCCTGATAATAATTCAGTTTGTTATGGTTTGTTTATCTTTCTTGTGATTCACCTTGGACACTTACTATATATATATATGTATATATATAAAATGTTCTGATAATAATTCAGTTTATTATGGTTTATTTATCTTTTCTTCCTTGTGATTCACCTTGGACACTTGCTATATATGTATATATAGTTTTTCACGCACTGTTTTTTCCTGTGTTATGAACAGTCTTATTCAACCATTGAAGGAGTAGCCACTTAGGAATATTTAAAGATACTGTGAGGCTTCAAGCACGTCGTTGGTCTGTCTAATTTTGTATATGAAACATTTATGACCTACACGTCACTAAAGCCAATGTTCCACTGAGGTCAAATTATAACGTCCTGTTTTGTGTGTGTGGAGTGAAGGAAGCCAACAACAATAAACCCGGAGGAAATGACCTCGGTGACCTTATGTTTATCACAAAGAATTGTGAGCCTAGACTGGACAAGGCAGAATGAGATTTCGATGTCTTGAGTTCATTGGTATGGCTCTACTGCCCCCCCCCCACACACACACAGATACAGGTTGTTTAATATTAATAGGATCTTTGTACGACCCAAGTTCAAGTTGTTTGATTAACGTTTATTTACGTATTATTATGTAACTTATCTCACTACTTACAAAGTTTGTGATTGGTCGGTTTACTTGACTAGCTGTAATTTACATAGAGTTAGAGTTTTAACTAAGTAGCCCCCACCCACCCCTAAGTGGATCAGTGGTAAGTCCGTACATTGTACAGTTTTATTTGCGCTTAACAACAAACTAAACTAATATTAAAATTAAAAACTAAACAACAGCTGTGCCATCTGACGGGAAAAAGTTTAATTTTTCTATGTATGGTGATGTAATTTATCCTTGTCATGAAGGTTTGCAAGTTTTCGTAACATCTAAGTGAGTATACAAAAAACTTAGATTTAACAACAACAACAAATATATTTATTTATTTATAGTTCTCATGGCAACAGAAATCTCCACTTGTTAAACTTTAAAGGAAAACAGAAACAAGCAACAGAAATTTCCACCTGTTAAACTTTAAAGGAAACAGTAACAAGCAACAGAAATCTCCACCTGTTGAACTTTAAAGGAAACAGTAACAAGCAACAGAAATCTCCACCTGTTGAACTTTAAAGGAAACAGTAACAAGCAACAGAAATCTCCACCTGTTAAACTTTAAAGGAAACAGTAACAATCAACAGAAATCTCCACCTGTTAAACTTTAAAGAAATATTTACAATTTTTAATATAAAACGTTTTAATCACGTGTCGGATTTTATACGTCGTCTGCTGTTTGCCACCCTAGTGGCTCAGCGGTAAAAAGTAAAAACCGGGTTTCGATACACGTGGTGGGCACAGGCACAAATAGCCCATTGCTTAGCTTAACTACAAACAAACTAACATAATTTGTTTTTCAGCTCACTCGTAGGTTGACAGGCACATTAATGCGATTCAAATATATCAATTGTTCCTGTCAGAAGTAGTTGTAACCAGTGACTCTGAACACTGATGGAGCACCGTAATAACATAGTTTTATATCCTGATATGAATAGTTAATCAGAAAGATAGGTCGCTTCACTATTTTGTTTGTTTCGGTGCAAAGTTACACAATAGGGTAGCTGTGCTCAGTCTGTCGCCGGGAGTCGAACCCAGGACTTTAGCGTTGTAACAAAATTATATCACCCACTTTAATAGCACGGAAGTAATGGTATCGGAGTACTAGCGTCTTTGTGCCACCTAGTGGTAAAGTAATAAATATCGCAGATATACGAATATACATTTTTTTGTTTTATTAGTAAATCCAATATTCTTTACCATCTGATTCCCCCCCCCCCCGAAGGGGCCAGCGGTAAGTCTGTAGGCTTACGACGCTAAAAATCAAGTTTTGATACTCCTTGGTGGGCAAAGCACCGACAGCTCATTGTGTAGCTTTGTGCTTGAGAACAACCAACCAACCACCTGGCGGTGAAAGTACAAAATTCGCAGTTTATTCCAATATATTGGGCCTGTTATCGTACTGAAAGATGTGCCACGTGGCTCTGTAATCTATTCGACTATGTGAACCTGAAAAAGACTCACGAAGTGCGTAGATTTGTACAAGTTGTAGGTTAGGCTCGAATAACAATAATAAAAGAAAAGTACACACGGCCCATTCTTTGGATGTGGTTAGACTCGTTGTCACGTAAAAGTTTCGGAGATTTAGAATTCTATTTTTTAATATGAGTTTCTCATCTGACCTGTTATTAAGTCATTGCACCAACCTGTATTAAAAACAAACAACAGATCTCATGAAAGTGGCGTAGTCGAGTCTGTCATGAACAAAAGGACCGTAAAGGTCAAAATTTATATTACCAGGTCAAATCACTTAGTGGTGGAGTGGAATAGCCTAGCCTCTGTCTTGGTGTTCTTAAAAAAAATAAGCCTAATCTAACAAGTGCACGTGTTTACAATCAGGCGTACACACGTGCAACAGGACACTGCTAGACGATATCACTCCATAGTGAACGGTAATAATGTGAAATAAATGTCCATCTATGTGGAGTGTTTTGAAAGCTAGATAACTTCTCTATGAACCAATCAGTATAGGTTCCTTCTTAATGTTTAGGTGGTGTATCTCATTGACATGAATGGCTGGAAAAAAATGTTTGAACTGTTAAGAAGATTAAAATTAATAGTTTCGGGTTACGTTGACCAAGGTCATACAGTCGTTGTGAAGATGGATCTCGAGAAGACCTGCTAATATATGTTGGTTTTCTTTTTGGTTTTTTTTTTCGTATAATAATTGTAAATAACTTCCACAACCATATATCTTGTATTTCATAAATAAACTGTGAGTTCAGTCAACTCTCACGACAAGTTCTTTAATTGATGTTATCGGAACTACGGTGTGGTACAGATCTCTGATAAGTTGTTTCATTATATAGACTTTATTGTGTTTGTTGTATACTTTCTTTTGTTATATTTGTGTACTGTATTGTGTTGTATTTGTGTACTGTATTGTATTATATTTGTGGTTATATTGTGTACCGTATTGTGTTATATTGTGTACTGTATTGTGTTATATTTGTGGTTTTATTTGTGTACTGTATTTTGTTATATTTGTAGTTATATTGTGTTGTATTTGTGGTTATATTTGTGTACTGTATTGTGTTGTATTTGTGGTTATATTGTGTACTGTATTGTATTGTATTTGTGGTTATATTGTGTACTGTATTTTGTTATATTTGTGGTTATATTTGTATACTGTATTTTGTTATATTTGTGGTTATATTGTGTTGTATTTGTGGTTATATTGTGTACTATATTGTGTTGTATTTGTGGTTATATTGTGTACTGTATTGTATTGTATTTGTGGTTATATTTGTGGTTATATTTGTGTACTGTATTTTGTTATATTTGTGGTTATATTGTGTTGTATTTGTGTACTGTATTGTGTTGTATTTGTGGTTATATTGTGTACTGTATTTTGTTGTATTTGTGGTTATATTGTGTATTGTATTTTGTTATATTTGTGGTTATATTTGTGTACTGTATTTTGTTATGTTTGTGGTTATATTGTATGTGAAATAAGTTTTTTCAAAACATTTAATTTGCGTTGTGGTTTGTTCCTTTCTCCAGTTGGCGGAATGCATCGCAAAACATCCTCTGGTCTAAACAGCATTAAAAAGGTGGCGCCACCAGTTGTACCAGCTCTAACTATCCGGAATTCTAGCAATAGTTTCCATAGTGATTATGGAACAATGGATCGGAAGTCTTGTGGTAGCCTTGGTGATGGTGATATAGGGATACAGCCTTCACTTCACTCACCGCTTAAAGGTATTGTTGGAGGTTTAGATTTACCTCGTTATTTACACTTACTTAAAAGTAACCAAAGTTTGAACAGTTTTAACGTGATTCACCGGAAACTAAGAAATGTACGTAATCTTACATTGCTTAGAGGTCGTATAAATTATTATTTAATCGGACTATTTTTTAATCATGTATTGCTTAGTTTATACAGTTACTTCTACAAACCCGCTTGACAACATTATGACGTGTTACCACGAGTGTGTGTGTGTGTGTCTATATATATATATATGCAAGTGTATATTATGTTCATTAATAAGGTTGTTTGTTTCTGATGTTCGCGCCATCTGTTATCAATCGGTAATATTAACTTCATCGATAAACTAGAGAGAAGGCTGCAAGTCAACAGCACCCATTGCCAATTCTTGGGTTACTCTAGTTGAGTTAGGGGTTGAAATCCCGATCTCGACAACCCGTATGTTAATAGGGCTACCTAGATTCCGGGATTTAGGTAAGAGAATCCTCTTGTCTTCGGATTGTGTTAACATTTTCGTCCCCCAGTGGCACAATATTAAGTCTGCGGACTTGAACGCTAAAATCCGGGTTTCGATACCCATCATGGGCCCAGCAGAGAGAGCCCATTGTGTAATTTTGTGCTTTAACTACAAACAAACAAATGAACCCCTTCCAGACCGTAGAGGTGTTACTGACATAGCCGGTGCAACGTGTTTTGCCGCCCTGTGCAAATACACGTGCTGCACCCTCGGCCCTGGTTACTGATATCCTCTTTTTTTTTCTTGTCACGTTGGCGATACTTAACCTAAAAATGTTTAATCAATGTGGTTTCTTGATTAAATTTTATCAAAATCTAATATAATGCTGCCTATACTAAAGTTAAACTGCTCCAGCTCTGCATACCGAACACCCCCCCCCCCCAAATTCCAGCTAGTGGCTCAGCGGAAAGTTTACGACGCTAAAATTTGGATTTCGATACCCGTGGTGGGCACACCACTGATAGCCCATTGTTTAACAGCAACCAAACCGCCTCGAGCATTCATAGGGTAAAATAAGTTTTAATAAATAAAAAAAATATTTGCGCAGCTGCGTTCCTAATATTATTTTAATCATTTAACTTAAATAATGAACGTAGTTGGTTTAATTAGTTTTAATTAAGGCAAAATAGAGCGTAAATAAATAAAATATTTAAAATCCTGGGATTTTACCAACAAAAATCCCGAAATCCCAGGATTCAGAGAAGGCTTCTGGGTTGAAACCCTTGCATGGAATAATAGGGTTTGGCCTTCACTATTATAACGAACCCACGGGCCCAAAGTAAGGAGTGCGATTTTGCAGCAATGGGACGCGAACCAGGGATCGTTGTATCCGTACTACGACATGCTTAATCACCATTCCACGTGCGGCCCGATTAATGACCTAGATATACAAGGGATGGAACGAAAGTCGCTTTAACAGTTAGGCTTGCGTAAAACCGTTAACACTAACACTGGAAGAAAAAGGAGAGTCTGTGTTAATTTAGATGGTATCTTGAGAAACGTATTTCCATACGAAGAAAGTCTTAATACGACACAATTTCCTGTTCGCCTTGTACTATTTAAGGAAAATTTAAAATTAGTTTCGTACAATGTCCGGAGCGTGTCTGCACTAGCTCGTGGTTACAGCTATCTTATAAGACTATGCACGTGTTAAGTAATTATTATTATTTTTTTAGTGTGATTTTTTTCTTCTAATTCTCGTTTATATCTTCTCTAATACATATTATGTAAATATAGTACAGTTTCAACATATTTCTAAACTTCTGTGTTCATAATTATTTGTTTTTATACAAAATGGATTGTAATATTTTTGTCAGACAGGATGTACAGTACATGTATTAATTTATTGAAAAAAAAAATGATGTCACAATAATTACCATTCCCTCTTATATATATTCCTAAAAATAGACGACTTTAATATCGTTGTCAGTCGTGAAGCGCACGGAATCTTTGATTTGACAAGGTACTTAAGGCTGTATTTGAAGTGTACTTAGAGCAGAATGTTCTAATTGGCACGATAAGAAGAGTTTCTAATTTTGTGGATTTGTCATCGATCATCTCTTTGATTTTTTACGAAACGTCTTGAGACTCGTTGTCTTTTGTCTTGGGCCTTTAAAGCCTCGTTCTTATCAATAATGGGCGAATAAGGAAAAGAATCGCGTTATTATGTAGAAGGGGGGAGACATATATTCAGAAATTCGATAAGCCTTGAAGATATATGTATATAGTTGTATATCGTGGTACATTGTTAGTCCTAAATTAGCATACTGTGAATTTTAATGTGAATTTTCTTACGGTTTCTACTTTTAACGAACAGTCTAGGTCTGTAAAAGAAATCATATATTTAAAGTTATAGGAAATGTAATTACATACACGCGACAGGGAAAGTTGGTGGTAGTTACAGCTTTGGTTACATGTTACAGTTACACGAGTAAGAAAGTTACTAAGCTTTGGCTACGTTAGTTCACAAAGAAAAAATATTTGCTCAATTTTTAGCTACCTCTTGAGCCAAAGTTTACAAATAGGTAACTGATTAATCATGAAGCCAAAGTACGTGTATGTGTTGAAACATGTGTACCTGCAAGCACGGGCGTCCGCAGAAAATTTTTCAGGAAGGGGCAAAGTTTTCTGGGGGAGGGGGGAGTGTAAAATTGTGATTTAAATAAACAATTTACATACATGAAGAATAAAGAAAGAATTGTTTTATCATTTCTAAGGGGTAGAGGCAAACTGCCCCCCTCCCCATGCTTACTTTAAGTAAATGTTATATACAATATTGGGAATATTTATGTAAATGAACATATGATACACACATAAGTCACAAATAATGAGACATTTCAACTAAGTGGTCAGTTCACCATTAATACAATATGTTATTACAGAAAATACAAAAGTTTTACAATGAACTAATATTTTCATCAAACAGAGCAGTATACCTTAGTCGTAAGCTACCATAAGTTTATTAATATACGATTATGAAATATTGTTCTTAATGTCCTCTATTACTTCCCATAGTTTGGCCAAATTGTCTGGTTACTCTATTTGATTTTTCTCAGCTTCCATATAAAGCCATACAGTCTTAATAATATTGATATTGGGTTTTGCACTGGTCTCTTGTTTTTCTCTTCTAAGTATTGTTCCATAACATTTGTTGTACAGATCATTATTTTTAAGGAACATGAATCCCTGCCCAATAGGTCTTATTTGTGAGAGAATGACATGGTGGACAAGAATCTGACTTTACCTGTCAGCAGTCAGAGTGCCATCAATAGTCTACCCAGCATGCTTTCACAGTAGATGCTGTACGTTAACCGTGATACTGTTCTTTTCTCAGGTATCGGTTATTGTTGAATTGACATGTACTGATCTGAAGTCTGATATCCATTTCAGCCTTTTAGTTTGATTCATTAACGCAGAAGTTTTTGAGTAGTATACACATCCGTTTAGTTCACGTAACTCTAATGTGTATGTTTCTATGCAGGAAGTAGCATACATACCTGTACTTGCAACAATATTTCTACTTGATTGTCACGTATCGCGTACTATGAGTTATTTCACATTATTTTTGAATAGTTTGATCTTTCTATATCGACGACTTCTATTATCTAGTTTCACTTTCTCTCCGTGGAGTTTTTCCATATTACTGAAACATAATTTTCTCTCAATCTGTAACATGTAGTAGCCTTCAACAGCTAAAACTTTGAATTCTACACGTTTGTCATGAAACCATGAATTCACTCATTGCACTATTACTAGGTATTGTGTTACTGCCTGTACTTTCATAGGTGTCGTATCTGATTGGTTGGATGACATCCAATCACAGTGTTAACTATCAACATGTGATTGTACTCCGGTATAGTTCTTTCTCGCACAATAAAGGCAGTCCCATAATATTTGCATTCTATGCCTATTTTATGTGCTGTTTATATAATTATTTCCAATATTATGTGTTTGTGTTTATGTATTGTTTAAAAATAAAATAAAGAAGTTATGTTTAAATACGAGAAATGACAAATCAATAAAGAAAATGTCAAAACATTTTCCCCATCAACTTATTGTAGGTTCATCCAATCCAAAGTTTCAGTAGTCCTAGTATTGATATAATAAGAAATAGTGTTAGTATGGCTGATTTTGAAAGTTGAATACTTAATATGTTTCAGGTCAGTTGCTAGCTTATTAATTTTTAAGCAGTTTTCACACACCAATGCTCCTGTATTTCGTGAATGTTCACAGTGCATAGAAATCATTAGTATCTAATGTTAGAATAATTAAGTGATTAAACATTGAAAAAAAATGAGACCTTTAAAATGGAACTTGTATATTTTCCAGAACTTTCCTACCCCACATCCCCAAGCCGCCGCAGTCACCATTTCAAGTTTACTACCTGTCAAGTAAGTAGTATTTATGTTGATGATGTGTTGTCTTCGTATTTAATGACTTATGAGACTTTGAGTCTATTGTTATAGAAAATGTGTTACAAACTTAGGCAGTTTAACTTGTTTTAGTTATTGTTCATGACGATAACTTGCCAAACTTGGGTGGTTTAACTTGCTCTAGTTACGAAACTTGGGTGATTTATCCAGCTCTAGTTACCAAACTTGGGTGGTTTAACTTGCTCTAGTTACCAAACTTGGGTGGCTTAACTTGCTCTAGTTACAAAACTTGGGTGGCTTAACTTGCTCTAGTTACGAAACTTGGGTGGTTTAACCTGCTCTAGTTAAAGCTCCTGCAAATAACTTGCCAAACTTAGGCAGTTTAACTTGCTCTGGTTACCAAGCTTGGGTGGTTTAACTTTCTCTGGTTACCAAACTTGGGTGGTTTAACCTGCTCTAGTTAAAGCTCCTGCAGATAACTTACCATCTTGATATTGCTAAATCATTAGTTTCTTTAAGCTAACTTTTCATTACTCTTCATTAAGGTTTATTCCAGGCTTTGACATTTTGAAAAGTTTTATAATACCCTTTCTGCATGAAATGGAACTAAAAAACAATCCACGCAAGTAACTCAAAAGTTGTCGTAATTAAGGGTGAATAACAATACAGCCTCTTTAGACATGTTTGACTAATAATCTGTTTTCTGGTCAGTGTTGTAGCATAATGCCAATAATACAAGTGGAAAGAAACTACAGATTTTTGAAAGTTGTGAGCTGAATGCCAGAAGCTGAGGAAACACTGATACAAATGAGACAGTAGAAGAGTTCTGGTATTAAATGAAAGTCCTTTACAGAGATGACAAATGATATAACTTAAATGTAATTTTTACAATCCATGGTTTGAAACCCATATTGGATAAATTAGAAGGAACGTGAAAAACGATTCTTTAGTCCGAATGATTTTATCACAAGTATTAGACTTGATTGGTTCCAAATGATTTTATCACAAGTATTAGACTTGATTGGTTCCGAATGATTTTATCACGAGTATTAGACTTGATTGGTTCCAAGTGTTTCTTTTGTTATAAGTATTAGACTTTGATTGGTTCTAAGTGTTTGTTTTGTTACAAGCATTAGACTTTGATTGATTCTAAGTAATTATAATAAAAATGGGGTAGACTTATCTAAACAATATTTTAGGTGTAGACTAGCACATAGTTTGATTTGAATAGAATAGCTTTTTTGGATATGGTTTGCTCTGCGTTTATTCATAATAACCAAATAGAGGCCTACTTCCAGTAGAGATATGAAATACTTAAAAATAAATGAGTGACTGTGTGTATATACAGAAAATAATAACGCATAAATTGTAAAGAAAGAATTGAAGAAGACATACTGAAATATTTTATTATTCCTAGAACATCCACACCCAAGCTGTTGTACATCCCCAGCCTTGTAGTCTATCGAGTTCACCTACGTCACGAGCATGGCAAGGTAAGACAGATCGGATAAAGTTCTTTACGTTATTTAAATAATTTACTGTAGGCTGGAGCTTAGAGCGAAAATTATGGTATGTCTTACCATTATGCAACTACAAAAGACGAACTCGTTCCATTTATTTGCTACATTTTAATATTTATGATTGACTGAAGACAGCAGTTTCTAGTTAGTCCTAAGCTATCCTAAGCCTAATTACATCAGTAACAACAGATATGAGGTTGTTTTTTTCTACGGACAGTTTTACACTGTCATTCCCAAAGCAAAACTGGAAAATCAAGCTATCCACTATTAGTTAGTAGTGAGGTTTTGTGCATGTGAATCAACCCATATATTCTGAAGAGTGGTTTAAAGACTTTAGTTTCTAGCTATATCAACTCTTGCACGTCATTAAACGTAAAAGTCAGGATAAAATAATTCTTTTATTAAAGTCTTAAAATATATGTAATTAAAAACAACAACTTTTTTTTTAGTCTCATTTAAAATTAATTTTGTTATGTAAATTAAATCAGGTTTTTGGTTTTAATTGTATTTATATATTTATAAACAAGCTAGAATACCTGTCCCCTGGACGAAAGTTATGTAAATTCATGATTAATGATAGGTTATCTTAGGACATAAGGTTGCTTCCCTTATATGTAATTGTAAAAAACTGACAGTACAAACCTTAAAAAAAAAGCTTTGTACTGTCAGTTTTGGTTTGTGTTTTGGTGAACATTCCAGAAGAAGCTGTAAAGCGAAACGTCTAATTAAATAATAACAACATTTTGGTGTTCTAAGGTTGTTTATTTCTAGTATTAACATGTCTTCTATACACCAATATGTACTACAGAAATTATATAATAATAGCTTGATTTGTCCTTATGTAGCATACTGTAACGTTTATATTACTGTGTTAGCTAACAAAACTTTAAAAAAAATATCAATTGGCTGAATGTATTCTGTTTAAAAATGTGGCATACATTCCTGTAATTAATTCACTAATTCTCTTGCGACGTTCTTTCTCTCCTGTTAGGCTTTTACTTTACTTAGTTAACTTTATTTTAAAATGTACGACCTTCCTACATATATTGGTTATTTCTACACAATCCTCTACAGCAGGTTTACTACACACACACTAAGCTAGTATTGTACCTTAATGCAACCCTGTTTACGTTTATTTACAGTGTTATCCCGCACTAAAACTTGCGTCATTTGTTGTTGTTTTTTTGTTTTTTTGGTTTAATAAATCGCCTGTTTTTTTCATGTTGTTTTAGCATCTACAAAAAATATCAAACCAACTGTGTTTGTAGATGACCAGGAAATAAAAGTTTGTCAAAAATCAGGTAAAGAAAGTCCAGGCGGAAGTAGCAGAAAATCACGACATAGTACGTCTAGCGTGGACAGCGGTCGAGCCTCTGCTACTGATGGCAATGTAAGAACTTCAATGGAAAATTAACATTTAAGTGACTTTTTATATTTAATAAATAAATAATTATATTATCTTAGAGCTGCAACGTATTATTTCACAGTTATGAAAGTAATTAAAATATTATTTAATGTTTTTATTAACAGAGTAGCCAAAGGTTATCGGTTCAGAGTTTCGAGTCCAGCAGCTCTTCCAAGCGGCGAAGCTACCACAGTTCTAGCTCAAGTTTAGGGAGCGATGAGCGGCCCGAGGAAAGCGGCGCATGCGCACCACAAGTAAACGTCGCTGAGATGTTTTTACACGGACTTCCTGTAAGTGATAGGCCTAAAAGTATAGAAATTCATTTAGTACTTAAGATCGTTTTGTTACATTGCTTTAAAGGTCATTAATCTCAAGATTGGCTGAAACGTTTTTTTTTTTTCGCCTCAGAAATATCTTTTTAGGCATTTTGAGGTTGTGAACTTGTGTTCAAATTTTGACTAAGTTATATGAATATTAGCGTGTAAAGCGTTGGTTAGTTAACTTGTATAAGTCTGGACACATTCCAAGACTAACTGTGATATGAGAGGGAGATAAACAATATTAGATAGTATACGAAGTATTATAAGTTTGGACTAAACATCAAAGTGGAAGACAAATTTCTAGAAACCGTGAATGAAAATTGGTTTCCAAGAAACACTTTTTTTTTTATCAGTTAACAATGCTAAGTAATCATCACTTTTGAAATTGGATTCAATATTTGTAAATAATCCTGATTACTCTAATTAGATCATTTATAGAAAAACAAAACGTGGAAACAAGGCTTAGAATTAAGTCTTGATTAAACGTGTTTAAAAATGAAAATAAACAACTGATAACGTAATACAGTTATAAGCAAGTCAGTAGACACGTTAAATAATTAGTTTTGATTCGTTGGAGTGTAAAAGCATTGAACACAGGTAATCAAACTTCTTTCAGGGAGGTGTTGTAGTAATTCGTACAGTTTCTGGTGCGAGACTCTGTCCTTGGTTTGTGTTGTTGATAAATCAAAAATGGTAATATGTTATATAGCGTAGTTGATTGTTTAAGTTCGTACTTTTATCTTTATGTGTATTTGTCTGTACAGTATATATTTAAATGATCACACGCCTTGTATTACTGTTTTTGTAATTAAGCACAAAGCTACACAATGGGCTATCTTTATGTGTATTTGTCTGTACAGTATATATTTAAATGATCACACGCCTTGTATTACTGTTTTTGTTTTTTTTAAAGCACTAGAATCGGATGCTATGTTACTCTCTCGAAAATATTGACACGTTGTGTCTAATAAACAACAACACTTGTCCGTTTAAAATGTTCGCTCCCCCGATGGGTCAGCGGTAAGTCTACGGACTTAAAACGCTAAAATCCGGGTTTCGATTCATCGCGGTAGACACAGCAGATAGCCCAATGTTTGTTTGTTTGTTTGAAGTTAAGCACAAAGCTACACAATGGGCTCTCTGTGCTCTGCCCACCACGGGTATCGAAACCCGGTTTCTAGCGGTGTGAGTCCGCAGACTGGGGGCATATAGCCACTGCAGGCTTATAGCCCAATGTGGCTTTACTATAAAATAAACCGTTTAAAATGCATTCTGGGGGATGTATTTCGAGTCTGTTTCTATTGATTTATTGCCCCCCCCCCCCCACGAACAACCAATCCCAGAGTGGCCTGACATACAACACACAGTTCTTATCCAATGAACTCAAACCACCGATGCTGTCATAATAATTCATATGAATATTCACAAACATAACATATATTTATATGTATCCTAATCGTGTCGAAATAACCGTACTGAGTAATCGTATAAAATTGATTTTGACGTTTATTTTTCAAAATCGAAATTTCGATT